AGTCCAACCTGATATTGCACAAGCCGCAACGTTGGCAACGATGGCATTAACAGAGGCACTGGAAAATGTCGACGATGAAGGAAAGGAAGAAGAAATTGGCCAAACAGACATGGAGGAAACTCCAACTCTGTCACTCCAACAGCAACAACAAGAACAGCAATCAAAGGACGCGTTGCCCCCTACCCTGACTACCTTGAAGCCGTTACCAATGAAGGATCTTCCAAGGGCAAATTTCAGTTTTACTTCAGCTGCCAAGAACATGTCTCATGACAATCACGATTCAGATGATGACATTTCCGTCTTTACCGAAGTCACGATTGAAGAAATTGTCCAATCGGTCGCTCCATCATCCGATGCAGGGTCTTCGGGCAATGCGTTCAAGGACCAAATGCGAAATTCGTTCTTGGCTTTTGAACAACTGGTACATGCCAAACACCAAATTGATGACGATGAATATGATGAAGAGACAGTATTTGAAGAATATTCCATTGTTCATGATGACAGCAAGACGGTCATGACCGAAATGACCACGGAGGAGTTGATTGAGTCAGTCGTTATTCGTAGTAGAAGTACCAATGACAACGCTGTTGTTGGGACTACGACGACTACTCCTGCAGAAGCCCCACAAGATTCTTTGGAAAACTTCCACACAGAGATGAGAAAGAGCTTTGCAGCATTTGAAGCGTTACTAGGTGACGACGAGTTTGACGAGCCAGAAACAAAGGATGATGGGGAATCTTGCGAAGAAAGCTTTGATGAATTTACCGTCGAGGAGTCAATCGCCGCAACAAATGGACCACGGCAGCAAGACGACGATACTGGTTATGACGACGTCACGGTCGCAGAGTCCATCATTGCCGAGCTAGCGGGGGTCGTCCACGTTGACAAGCCTGCTAAAAGCACCACCCAATCCTCTGGAAGAGTGGAAACGGCCGACAAGGAACAGCGCAAGGAGGAAAAGATAAGACAGTTCCAAAATGAAATGAAAAAGAGTTTCACGGCCTTCGAATCGCTTATTCTTAAGAAATCAGAAAAGGAAGAAGAGGATGACGATGCTGATAGCTGCGTTTCTGATGAGTACACGGTAGAAGAAATTGTAGACCAAGTGACAGCTGGAGACGATTCAAAGCTTTTTGCCAAGGAAATGCAGAAAAGTTTCTTGGCGTTTGAATCGCTACTGAAGCATAGTAACAACGATCTTTCCAAAGAAGAAGAAAGTGTATGGGACGAAGAAACCGTTCAGGAAACGGTTCAAGGGTCGGCAGCAGAGCATCCACCAACACCTCGGATTGTCGCATACAATGCTCCGTCTGCAGCTGCTACGCCGCTATCACCGAATCGCAGTGTGGGTAGCTCAAAGGCTTCCGAACAGTCTGGCAGGACCTACGAAGATGCGATTTCTCTTGTTGGCGGTGAGGGGTCCAATCGTAGCAGTGGAGCGAATGTTGACGACGCAATCATGGTTCTTGATGCAGATGAAGAAAAGAGTCGAATCCAACCAGACAAGTCATACGAAGAATCCGGGGAAGAAAAGAAGGATGGCGAGAGTCTATTGCAAAACACACAACAATTTTTGAATGCCATTGGGGGAATGGTGTCATTCGACAAAGGGGGAAGTACCGAAGACACGGAACAAGAAACTCTATCGGGACATATGCGACCAGACAATGCGGAAAAGAAGGAGGGTGCCAAGGCGAGCAGTGACCGACCAAGTTCATTGTCGAAGAGTCCAACGAAGAAAAAGCAGGGCCCTGTACTGATTTTGACCAATCCAGGACCTACAACAGGTTCTCCTGCCAAGAAATTTACTCATCAACCAGACCTTCCATTGGACATTAATCTGACGAACAGCCGAATGTTCTCCGAAACTGGATTGGTTCTTCCGTCTTCTGAAAAGAAGTCAAAGGCTAAGACACCGCAAAAGAACTTGCCGGTCATGGATGTTGAATTCAATCATGGAACCTACGAGGACGACGATGATGATATGACTCAGATTACGTTTGATCATACAATACACGAAACGCCGCAGAAGCAAAGACCGCCACCTAAAGAAGACGAGGGGTCGCCAGGTCAGGATGACGCTGGGTCAACATGCAGCTCGCAAGCATCCAAGGGAATCGCGGACATGCTCCGCAAAGACATTTGGAGTCCCGATCTGAAGATCGTACAATCTGCTTTGGAAAAGCTTGGAATCGAGGCTGTCAAAGGGAGATCGTATCGCTCGCACATTGTTAAATTCGGAGGCTTACTTGGAATCCTTCGGGCGATGGACATGAATCCAACCCATTCGGGGATTCAATTGGCAGCCTGCCAAGCACTGGAACGACTGGCGCTAGATCCCGAGACACAAATGTCGATTGGAGGGGTTGGCGGCATTCCAGTCGTGGCCACTTCCATGCAAAACAATGCTGGAAGTGTTGAAATGCAACGCGCTGCCACTGCTGCTTTGGTCAACATTAGTTGTTGTCCACAAGACAACATTGAAGGCGTTTTGCAATCTGTAATTTCATCCATGACGAGACATTCCAACGATACAGAAGTCCAAGAGAATTCGTTCAAAGTCCTGGCGAACCTAACCATGGATAGCCCCGAACGTTTGAAAGAACTGTCGCATCGAGGAGGACTAGCAGCAATGACAATGGCGCTCCAAAAGCCATGGAGCATCAAGGCAGAACACCACGAAGCCATATCGCTACTGTCGATGCTTCTAAGGAACCTGGCCGAATGTAATCAATAACAACCAATGTATTCATTTTAATTTTAAAAAATTAGATTGAAATGTCAGCAAATTCGATAGTAGTTGTACTCTTATGGTAGTAAGTGTTCCAGCCCTTGGACCAAGTCCTTTGCCGTTGCACGTTGATTTGGGTCGATTTCATAAGCGGAATACAACCAGTCAGCCACGACCGAATCTGTTGTTGTATTATTATTCGTTTGGTCCACTGGCAATGGTGGTTTCTTGCCGTCCAGAATGAGATTCTTGACAACATTCGTATTGGCCTGATCTACCCACGGACTGCTTCCAGTCAAGATTTGATACCAAACATTGGCAAGACTGTAGACATCCAGTTGGGTCGTCAATGGTTGCATTTCATATTCTTCCGGGCTACGAGCCAAGCCAGGAGCAGTCGGTATCATAATGGGACAAATGGGAGGAGGAGGAGGAAATGGAGGCACTACTACTGAAGAGTTCATGGGCAGACTGCTGTTGTTCTGTTCCCGTGGCAAGAATCGGCATCGATTGAAATCATTCAACTTGATCGTTACTCTCGTTGTTGAGTTGTCATCATCAAAGTCCACCAAGAACTGTTTGCTTTGCAAGTCGGCATGAATGATATCGTATTCATGCAAGACTTGCAAAGCCTTGGCAGTCTGCAGCGCCAAATCCAATCGTTCCTCTGGTGTCGTCACGCGGGGAGCCTGGTGTTCCGTCAATGATTCCTCTTCTTTTTGCCCCCGGCGTACTTTCTTGCGTCGCTTCCTTCGAGAGCGGGGCCGGAGGTAGGCTTCCAAATCCATGGCAAGGTATTCCGTGAGGATTGAATTTCCACAATAGGCAAACAGATTGACAATGTTTGGACTTTTGGTCAGTACATCCATGACAATGGCTTCTCGTTTGTGACGTTCCAAGTTTCGATCATCCACATCGTGCTCGGATTTCATCATTTTCAAGACGACGGCATCATGATCATAATGATGATCATCATGATGATGATGTTGTTCTGTTACATTCTTATTTCCCCCCATAACTGCTGGTAGTCGAAAGACATCCCGCCACATGCCACTCGAGAGATATTTTCCGCCTTGTCGAAGTGTGGTATTGTTGGTATTATTGTCTCGTGAAGAAAAGGCATCGTTCAATAGCAGTGGCAAGTCGAGTTGATGCAGTTCCATGCAATTGGGATGGCCGACTTGTTGCCATTCTTGCAATTCGCAACCATCTGGAATGACCTCCTTGTTGCTTTGTTTCTTGTTCTTCTCCTTTTGGGTAAAACCCAGCCAATTTGCTGGGGCCTCTTCGTCCTCGTCTCGGTCGTCGAATCGATGCCAAAACTCCTGAGGAGAGAGTCTTATTGTGTTTCTAGGACGAGTTGTTGCCGCGAACATTCCGCTCTCTTGCGGACCGTGTACTAGCATTCCATAGATTTGAACTAGAACCCAAATGATTATGGCCAGAATCAAAAAGTAGGAGGATAGACGACACCAAATGTCATAAATACGAACGAGGAGGTACCGATTCTTCTTCTTCTTCTTGTTTGCGGAACCCCTCCGCCGTTTGGCGGGTGAATAAAAGTTTTCTAAATCAGCTTCGTTGCGATTGTCTCTCTGTGATGATGACTGCAATGCATGTTGCGAACCACGCCGCCGTCTCATGGTAGCATTTATTGGAATAGTAGAAGACCTGCTGTGATCGTGATGATGGTGGTATGAGACGAGTAGCGAAGGAGAAATCCTATTGTTGCTATTATCCGTGTCGCCATCTGCACCTGGATGATGACCACTCGAGGAGGAGGAGGAGGAGGAGGAATCATCAGATTCACTGTCATAGGAAGATGACGATTCTGACGAGTATATATCCCTATCATTGTCGCTGTTGTCTTGCTCGTCATATAATGACGGACTGTCATTGGTCATTTTGATGTTCCTTTGTGTTATGGTTCGAATCAATCAAATCAATCAATGAATTAATCAATCAATCCTGCTGTTTGCCATGCTATCGTAACATTTTCTCTGCAAGTCCTGTGTCACTAAAGTAGCATTGGTAAGTTGTGTGTGGATAGTGATCGATGATCGATTTTACATTTTCAGGAAAGATTATCTCGAATTCAATCGTAGTGATCAAAAGTTCTTCTTAGTCGACGTAGTCGGAGTTGGTATGTCCGTCTTCCCGCCAAAGACGATGACTGACTGATGTCCAAAATTTAGCTTTGTTCATTCCCACTCCAACAAGAAGTCCAACAATACATCCACTCGCTGACTGAAATAAGACCAACTTGAGGAAGTCATCAAGGACTGCTGTGCTTGAGAACTATTCCAGTTTGATTCAGTGCGAAATTGCTACCGGCTGTATATACTCGCAGTGCCATTGAAACGTCGATAACAAGCAATAAGAAAAACACGACAAGTTGAGTCATCCATCATCACAACGTGACAATAACACCGAAAGCTACATTCTTCCAACACTTTTGTGAGCTCCACTTGAACACAAAGCGTGAACAAAACATCATCCACCATGAACAGCCGTCACCATCATCCACGACCGTGGGCCGCCAACGTTGATCTATACCGCAAAATACCCACAGATTTGCTGGAAGGCTCTCGAGAAGGCTCCATATTCAGCTATATCGCCCTGGTAATGATGGTCATTCTATTTGTGGCAGAAACTTCTGACTTTCTCGGCGGCAAATTGGAAACCTATTTGGCCATGGATGTGTCTGGAGAAGACACACGGATCCGCCTCAATTTCAACATCACCATGATGGATCTCAAGTGCGATTGGGCCGTGATTGATATTGTCTCGGCGCTGGGTAACACTCAAAACGTGTCGGCACACGTGACCAAATGGAATACCGATGGAAGCGGAGTCCGACTGGGGTACCGGGGTAGAAATCGGAATCAAAAGGATATTGATCTGTATGATTCTACAGTTTCTGAAACTTTGGAGGAGTTGCACGAAAACGGAGTAGATGCCGTCAGCTTGGACACGGAGTCTTTCGAACTGTACAAGAAGGAACACGATTATTTGTTCGTGGACTTTTACGCATCATGGTGTAGCCACTGTCGGGATTTGGCACCCACATGGGAAACTTTGGCAGAAGTGGTGAGTATCATGAGTTTCAAATCTTGGTATGCGCTTTTAGTAATGACGGATGGATTCTAATGACACTTGTCTCGCCTTTTATATACTAGATGATTGATGCTGGAGAAGCCTTGGGCAACGAGATTCCGCATCCTGACGACTACAGCGAAGAAGACTATCTGAGGGCCAAGCGAATGCAAATGCCCGTGGTCATTGCCAAAATCGATTGCGTCACCAACCAAAAAGTTTGCAATGAACAGGAACAAATACGAGCTTATCCAACTCTTAGACTCTTTGTAGATGGCGAACCTTGGAAAGCTGGAGACTACCGTGGACATCGAACGATTACCGACATGGTGGAATGGCTGTACTACACGGAAGAAAAACACAAGCAATTGCTGGATGGAGGCGCTGAGGCTGTCCGAACCTTGCACGAAGCTCATAGTGCCGCCCGAGGACGTTTAGATGACCATTTGAAAGTCAAGGAAGACGCACGATGGAAGAACAGAAAGATGGACGATAAGCGGCGCCTCCATCACGATTGGGTTGAAGAAGAACATCCCGGTTGTCAATTGGTCGGACACTTGTTGTTGGATCGCGTTCCAGGCAACTTTCACATCCTAGCCCGGTCCAGCAGCCATGATTTGGCGCCGCACATGACCAATGTGTCGCATCAAGTCAATTCCTTGACAGTCGGAGATCCCATGGCAGTTCATAGGGTGCAAACATCCTATATTAAGAATTTGCCGGATAAGTTGACGGGCAAGATTGCACCCATGAATGGCAACGTCTACGTGACGGAAAATTTACACGAGGCATATCACCATTACTTGAAGGTTGTTCCTACCCAAGTGGATGGTCTACAAATTGGGGCTCGTTTCTTGCGGGCCTATCAGATTCTACCCAACTCCCAACTTTCCTACTATCGAACGGATATGGTCCCCGAAGCCAAGTTTGCCTACGATTTGAGTCCCATCAAGGTGTTTTATCGAAAATCCAATCGACGATGGTACGATTACTGTACCTCCCTCATGGCTATTGTTGGAGGTGTCTTTACGGTCGTGGGCATGCTGGAATCCAGTGTGGAAGCCACTGTCAAGGCGACGCGGCGGAGAAGGGTGGCGAATGGTGGACTTCGGTAGTATCGTACGTCTTGATGATATGTATGTTTACCGGTTGTGGTAGTTTTTTAAAAGATATCTGTTAGCTAATAGAATAGAGATCTTCTACCCCATGCTGCTCCAACCCACCGCACCATCACGGCTCACTTTGTGTACAGAAACGTGAATTATCAAAATTCTGAAGTCTTCCTCTTGTAACTGTCTGGATGGTCCTGACTATACAACCTCAAGTGTCATGTCAGATCCTCATTGAAATGCTTTATATGCCGTAAATGGCTTTTATACGCTTGAGCATCAAATGGCTCATTCTTGGTCCAAATAGGTCTGTACCTGGTACCAACACACATAGAAAAACCGTACTATACTACCGGTATTTATATTGATCCAATTATTTGCTCTTCTCTCTCTTTCCATTGAAGGACGAGAGGAAGGAGGAGTGACCGATGATGAAGACCATTGTTCGAATCGTATTGTTGGCGATTGCTACTCTAACATTAGGCGTGACTGGCCAATTTACAAACTACGAGGAAGGAAGATTTGCTTTTTCTAGTTCGAGACCTCAGTCTTGTGAAAGAATCATTTCCGTCAGCCGATTCTATGGCACCTGCTGTTCCTTGAATGCAACATTGGCGGGTGGGTGTGTCGTCAACGTCAAGAATGGATGGTGCAGAGTAAGTTTGCACATTTCGTGATTTGGATGCAGCTCAAACAATTATTGTCTCAACTTTCTTTCAAAAAGATTATTGGACAGTACTGGTCAAACACATGGAATTCCACGGATGATAGAATTACATGTGATCCATCTGAATTTGAAATTGAATACATCTCTACTGATAGTCCCTCTATTGCACCGTCGAGACAACCAAGTACAGCGCCAAGTCGTAGCCTTTCCCCAAGCGAGATTCCTCAACCATCATCCAATCCGAGTGGAAGTGACGAATTTCTCAGTGACAGTATGGCAAATGAGGTTCCATATTTTGTATCGCTGCTTCTTTGCGCAATCGTTGGGAGCATCATGTTGATGTAGACGAATGCTGTTTGAGTAGAGATTGATGTCCTTCTCTATATTTAGACTACAGTAATAAATATAATACATATTGCTAGGGGTTTGTCATTTCTTTGCGATTGATTCGTTCATCTTTCTAACAGATCATCAGGATCCGTTGATCTCCTGCGGATCGACTGTCGCGTAGTACAAATACCGTATAACAATGACAGCGAACAATGCACAAAGTTGTGGACATTCCAAACGAAAAGGCAACGATTCATGCCACGGTCCCTCCTCGTACAAGCAAAGATGGTGCATCATCGGTCGAGTCCATCATTCTCCTTCACGGCGGTGCAGGTGTCCCGGAACCTTTTTTCCGAGCTTGCTACAATTTTGATTGCAATGTTTCCCATTGGTGTTGATAGTATATCCTAGGTTTCTTATTTTCTCGTCACAGAATCATCATATATTGGGAGACTAGTACCCCTATACCGGTACTCCGATCCGTTCAGTACGACTCGCTTTGCGAAGATGCATCTGCTGCAGCCTTTTCTTCTGCAACCTTTTTGTCCACCAAGGCTTGAATACGAGCCTTCATGTCATCGGGCATACCTGGAACGGGAGGAAGGATAGTGTCAGATGACCGAAATGATTTGGTACGTCGGGGTGCAAGTCGAAAGCACCCCAAGTGTGAAGTGTTGAAATGAATATTCCCTTCTTTCTCTTGTATCCGTCTGGGTGGTACCGAGTGTAACCTCAAGTATCTTGTCAGTTCCTCGGCGAATCTTTGTTGTTGTCGTACCTGGCTTTTGCACTTGAACATCGAACGGGTCATTATTATATTTGCTCCCACATGGATCACCGCCAATGTAAGAAACCCCAAATTCTGCTTTTTGTTCACCTTGTTCGTTTTCTATCAAATTGTTGTCGTCATCATTATCATTATTATCACTGGCATACAGACCATTGAAGTTCAGGTGTGAGCGATGAGGACATGATGAGGAAGGTTGAAGGGACGGTGACGGGGAGAATGGCATTACGGTTGGGACCAACACTGCCATAAAAAGCAACAGCTGGATCATTTGTAGGGAATCATTCATGGCAAGCGAGATTAGTGTATGTAAGGTGTGGGTTTGGTCGATGGTCAATAAGTCTGGTATGACAATGACATCATCCACATCATTATTCCTCAAACCGAAATCGAACGGATCTGAAGTGAGCACATTATAATTTTGAATTTTCGAAAAATATCACGTGGTGTGAAATCAAAAAATATATTTTTCAAACGCGGCAAATCCAAACACGGTACTGTAGAACCGAAGCAAGATATACACGTGTACACGTACTGTAAAGTACTAGGTAAACATACACTTGTACACGTGTTCGTGCTAGTCGGCCACCGCCAGACCGTCACTGGTCTGTAGCTGGCGGGGGTAATGTACTGTTTAAAAATTCAATTTTCTATAAATATCACGTGTATCAAATCTTTATGTTTGGAGCACAAGCGTTTGTCGTAATGCTATAGTCCGCCAACGAGAATTAAAATCATGATTTTACGCGGCATCCAGCTTGGAATCAGTCACACGAATATATCCCAGCACAATTTGACACGATCATTTGGCGCACCTGTGACAGTAACACGTGGGGCAACACGTGCACCAAAACTATGTGAATTCTGATCATTCATGAGAATCTCCAGAATATCCAACCGATGTGACACTCCACCTTTTCAAATCCAGTGATACAGTTAGGCGGCTAACGAGAATTTCAAGGAACTCTCACAGCCGCTTCATGACGATCAAGCTGCACACTACCACCACGACACGACGAGACCAAAAGTTGTACCCTCAAGACAATGTCTCATAAAAATCAACTGCCTCGTCGCAATACACCCAAGCCCACACAGTTCAGACCCAAGCTTCGTGACGTTTCAAATCAAATGGACCGACCATATTTACCATTCACTTCACCCCCACCTGAGGGACCTGAAACAAAAAAGCGACGATCCAATCCACGGTCTCTCCTGAAATTGGCAAAGAGCACTAAATCAAAGCTGGCGATACGCCCCCCCACACTCCTCTCTCTGTGCAAACTGTCCAATGACAAAAAGGTGAAGCTGTTGGACGAAGAGAGCCAAGATCAGACGACAGTTGTCTCAGACTTACAGAAGGATGAGACAACAACAGTCGAAGAACCAATACCTCTCTCAGCATATTTCCTACTGGCATCGGCCGTTATTTCACTATCATTCATTGCCCCACTGTTGGATCTTCAACAGGCAGACTCAACAATGAAGATTGTCTGGCGTCAAAGTGCTACGACCATGTTGCTGGCAGTCATGACGGTATCCACCTTTGTGAGAGAAGGATCCTTTGGAATTAATAAGGATGCACCACCTTCCGCCAAGAGTTGGGGATACGCCATACTGGCAGGTGGTTTCTACTCTCCCGTTTGTGTCATATTTTCAATGGCTCTGGAGTATACAACTGTCGAAGATGCAGTGGCCTTTAGCAACACCCAATCCCTCCTCATCTTGGCCGGAAAGGTTATCCTTGGTTCTGCAGTCTCCCTCCGACAGTCCGTTGGAGCATTGACAGCCTTTGGTGGGGCCATCTTTTGCAATCTCGACTCGGATCAAATGGTGATGGAGGAACAATTGACAATGTCAAAATTTACGTCTGGCACCGATGGGGATGGTTCAAACTACGCATCAAGTATAGAAACCATGGATGCCAGAATATTGTACGGAGATCTTTTGAGCTTTGCCTCGGCATTTTTTGGAGTGGGCTATTTGCTGCTCAGTAAAGAGGCAAGAAACGAAATCTCCTTGTTTCCGTTCATGTTTGTGGTCATGCTGTCCGCCACTATTGTCAGCAACCTCACGGTATTTGCAATGGGAAAGCCACTGCAAGTCTTTAGTATGGACGAAGACTGGGGAATCTTTGGGTTTCTGCATTGGGATCGCTTTGATCGCCTTCCTTTGGAAATCATCACTGTCATTATTTGCAACATGTTTGGAACCATGGGATACATTCGATCTCTGCGATACTTTGACCCCTTTGTCGTTTCGGTAGCGGCTCTTTCCGAACCGGTCGTGGCACAGCTCCTGGCCGCGTTGGCTCAGGTGGGACTCTTACCGGGATGGCGTGGATGGATTGGAAATGCTTTGATCGCAATAGGAACCTATTGGGTTGCGTACCAACCCATAGAAACGAAGGAGGAACCGCCTAAAGAGGCTTCCGATGCTTACAAGGAACTCCCAGAAAAGAAGGAACTCCCAGAAAAGAAGGAGGAACCGCAAAAAAAAGATACTTCGGATGGCTGCGACTCACCACAATAATAGAGAAGGTACGACGAGTCAAGAATGAAACGGAATAATAGAACACTATAGAATAGATAGACACTGTACACCACTTGTTGAAAGTAGATAACTTGGAACTTTGCCGTCAAGATGGCAGCAAGCTCGGAAAAGGGTTCTGGGACGCCTGGTGGGCCGCCGTGAAGGAGAATGATGGACTCGACCAACGGGGCATCCTGCTTGCTCGTGGTGCACGGGTGGACTGTGGCATGAATCGTTGCCTTTTCGTTTGGAATGTCCATAACTTTGGTAGATGTCATTGTATAATTTGTCAATGGAGCGTATGTGTTGTGTGCGTGAAAGGATCGATGCTTTGGTGCGGTCGGTATGTGCGGATCTAATGGATTTCAGGTAGGATCGATATGAATATGTAGTGAAATTATATATAGAGATATAGTTGATGAGTTGTGATGTCAAGAGATTGATTCCATCTCTTGACGTCCCTTTCTTGAGGTCACTCATCAGTCACTCATCAGTACTCTTGCTCCCATCTTCCTTTAGGACGACGTACGGACCCTGGGTCCCAATATTCCAACAAGGTACGTGTGGTACCGTTTGAACTTTTGTACCCGGTACAGTACTGGTACCAGGTACCATATTCATGCATTCATTCATTCATGATTGAGATCGACTTCTACAGTACTGTGCAGTACCGGTATATTATGAAGAAGCTCATCAATCTCCTTTCACTAAAGCTCGTTCAGCAATGACTATTATGAACAACGAATCATGTTTGTTGCTGGCGGCAAAGAACCAAAGAGGAGATTTTGAATAGCCTAGAGGCTAGTTTATTGTGCTTTTTTTGCTTGCCTACGTGCTGCGTAATTCATAGCAGAAGTAAAAAAGAAATCTATAGTCATTGGTGTTTATAATATTTTCTCGTGACCAAGAAGAATGCTTACTTGGCTGCAAGAGGAAGGATGTCTCCGACATTTCCCAACTTGTCGTGAACCATGAGAGCAAAGATACCCATTTGTGCGGCACGTCCTTGGTTCAATTCAATGGTACGCTTTCTTTGCTTCCATGCGTCAGATTGACTGTCCCAGCCAAAGTCAAGGAATCCGTTTCGGAAGTCTCCGACGAACTCAGACTCTGGGATATCATGGACATCGGAAGCATCACGGTTGAAGGCTTCCATGACACCAAAGGTGAAGACCATTTGGACCCAGACAGCGGCAGGGACGGCAGACAAGGCAGCCCATCCAGCAGGAATGTCCTCAGCACCGGGGAAACGAACTCCGGCGTAAGTGGTGAGGTATCCAACAACGGCCAACATGGCAACACGTCCGTGCTTCAGCTCGACATAACGAAGACGGTCAAAGTTTTCCTTGTCACCATCCTTGCAGATGCCAAGAGGATCCCAGTATCCCAAAGGCATTTGGGCGCCAATCTCGTTGGCAAAAGGAGAGGCAGCCAACGAAGTTTGGGTGGTGGCAGCAGGGCCAGAAACAGGGGCGAAAGCAGCGGCGCTGGCGATCAAGGTGGCGGCGATGATGGACTTCATTGTAGTATTATATTGGTATCTTGTGTGTGGTGTGTGGTGTTTGGTGTTTGGAATGTGTTGATTACTGAGAATGGGATAAGGTACAGTATTGAAGTTGGGGGCCAAACCTCTCTTCTTACCAGCCGGCGACGAATTCGAACGCACGGAATCCCAAAGCGTATCTTTTGACATCAACATGTTGAAGATCTTGTA